GGGGGAGGGAATGGTTAGCAGAGCAGCTTTATATAAGCACTCACCTAAAACAGGCAGAGTCATCGGTAGCTAAGCTATTTATGCAGGATTCTTAAAATGGCGTCTGGCAACACTGCCTCATTCCTGGATTGAAGCTAAAATGGTAGCAGTTTGTTCAATAGCTGCAGCTCTTGTTTAAGCAGCCCTGCTACTTTCAAAGCCACCCTCCCTAAATATCAAAACCAGGCAAAGCTCAACCAGAGGACACCAACAACCCAACGTTTAGAAGCTTAAAAAAAAAAAACCCTGCAGTGACAGGGGGAGTTTGTGAAGTCACAGGTTCCTAAGGAAAACCCTTCCCTTTCAGATCCTGAGCCTTCACCATGAGGCTCTGAGAAGAGGCCCCCTTTGCCCTCGAAGTAGGCGGGTGAAGGTGAGGAAATATGCAGCTGTGTGTGTGGCATAAGCTGCAGACAGACAGGTGTCTACCAAACACAAAAATGTTAAAAGGCAGCAGGCTGGGGAGGGGAAGGAAGGAAGCCCATTTCCCCTTGGTATATTAAAAACCAGCTTTGCATCCATACCAAAAAGGAGCTAGGTAAAATGAAAGTGCCTCAAGGACAGCAGGCATCTGAAAAGCCAAGCTAAAGGGCTGCACCCCAGTCTGAGGCCAAGGTAAAAATCCAAAGGCTGTGTATAAGCCTGAAAACGGCCACCAAATACCCAGCCGGTCCTAAGACAGCAGCAAGGAAAGACAATCGGAGTCTGCAGAGACACAACAGTAAAACATTCGCTCAGCCAATGCACAGGATACTCACAAATTAGATTTTTGTCCACCCCCAACAGAGCCCTGAAAATTAACAACTGGTTTTGCAAAACCCGCTTTCAGAGGCCAAACTAATAGCCTCATAGTGGATAATGTAATTTACTGTTACAGGTCTGAGCATTGGCCTCAGCACTGTGGTGCTGTGAGTGGGGAGTTTCAAGGTGACTGCTTTTTAGCTCCAGGGGAGACAGGAGGGCACGGTGCCCAAGGCTGTGCCAGGGCGAGGACGGGCGGCTGGCTCCTCGCCGGCCGATAGGTGGGTAATCTTGATGAGGAGGGACAGCCTAGCAGCGCAGCTAGCTGCAGGGCTGAAATGGCTCCCGCCTGCTTGTTTATCTGGAGATTGGGGAGGGGGAAGGGCAGCCATAGCCTAGGCAACCTGAAAAGCCAAGGGTGAATCCTTGTTTTTGCATTTCAGAGCAACATAAGGGCTTCTAAACATATTCCCTTACTAAATCTCAGCTGTGAGGTGGCAAAGGCACTTTTGCGTGTGTCTTTCTTTTCAGGGTCAACCAGAGGCAAAGCCAGATCTAGGGCTTCTCAGCTGACAAATGTTTGTTGCCTCTGCCACAGGAGAGAGAAGGGAAAAGAAGGCAAAAGAAACAAAGAGATCACACATTTGAAGTGGTTGGACTCAAAAAACCTACCTCTGCCTTCAGGGTTTTCTGGGTTACTGTGGCCCTGGCTTTTTACAGATCAACTCATTTTCCTCTCTCCTATTTAAGACATGGAGCAGTTCACCACTGTCCCCCCAGGGAAAGAAAAAGGGTTACAAGAAAGAAAAAAAGAAAGAAAGGGGGGGGAAAGCTATTGTTTCCATCCCTAATTTATAACTCAAGATGCCCCATTGTTTCCTTCTTTCTGACTCAAATCTTTGAGCTGGTAATTATAAAAGTAACTGGACGGGGTTCCAACAGGCTAACCATGTTCATGCACAGCAATTAGAAAAACTCTGTAGAAAGTTTACTGAGTGATTATATATAATTAATTCCTAGTTACAGACAGAACACTGACCATTTTCTGGAGCTAATAAAAGCAGTTACTCCCCCTCCCCCACGTGAATGCCACTTAATTTCCCAAAGCAGAAAGTGAATCCATCCTGGAGGGTCTTGAAGGAAAAAAAAGGGAGGGGGGAGAGAGGAATCAAAAGCTCCAGTGTGTTTGTGTTTGTTCCTTGCAGCTGTGCATCCTCTTTGGGGACCGAGGAGGCAGAAGGAAAAAGGAAAACAGCCCAATGTGCTGTCCCTCCCTCTGCAGTCTGCACCGGTGGCAGAGAGAACATTCTACCTTGATGTAAAAAAGGAAGGTGGGGGAGGGTGAGATGCCTTAGGAATGGAATGCAGGAGACTCTTCAGCTTGGTGGATCTGCTTTTCCTAAAAGGAACAAAGATGGTAGAAATTTCCAGAAGGCCCAGTCTCAATTCGGCCACTACCATTGTCAATCTGTAACCTTTCCTCCCAGTCTATTGGTTCAAAAGCTGGAGAGAGGAGCCCCATTGGGCTGCTCTGTGAGCCAGCAGTGCCTACCTAGTCCTGCTGCAATGCAGACATTTTTACCCCCTAACTGAAACTGGAAAATAATGCTACTTTGAAAGCAACTGACTTTTTACAGACTCATGCTTGGTGGTGGCCACAGTGCCCAGGAAAAGTAGCTAGCTTGGTCCAGGCTGGGAACTTGCTGGGGCTGGCTGCACATGTGAAAACAGATCTTGGCTTTGCAAATCTGTGGGAGCCATTTTTAATGTGAGCTTTTAGAGGACAAATGCCTTGCCCTTAGGTTTCCTTCCAGCCCAACAAATACAACATTACGCAAACGCTGAAGGCACCAAACCAGGAGTCTTGTGATTAGATACTGCTTCTAGGGAGGCCACAAGAACCTCAATATGTAATTTCCATTTACAGCCAGGAGATAAGAACAAAGAAAAATAGCCAAGTGTCTGAACTTACTTGTGTGGGGCAGTACAACTGTTCAGTTTTAAGTATATAAAACATCATTAACTCCTAGCAATTATACTCTAAGAAGCTGGCCTTCCACAGACTTTTTGTAACTTAGAATTTGGTACATTTCTCACTATTAAATGAGCCTTTTTCCAATTGGTGCTAAAAGCTAGACACTAATTTAAAAGAAAAAAAGATTATTGACTCCATCAGGTTGGCATAACACAGCAACTGAATATATTTCCAGTATTTACGGTCATGCTGGATTGGTCTCCAGGCTGGAAATTGATGCAGTGAACTTCTAGGGAAATTCTGAAACTAACACTAAACAAGAGTCCACTTTTTTCACTCTGAAGTTGTAACTGCAGCATTAAGAGATCAGGGGAAATGTAAAAAGAAATAATTCATAAGTAAAGGCAAGCATGCATACAGATGTGTGTGTGGGTCTGGCTTGGAAAAGGCCGAATCTGTAAAGCAGTCCTGAATCAAATCAAGTTTGCTGGTGGGTGGAATTCTGCACTCAGTGTCAGTATCTTAAAACCTGAGTACTGACACCACCACCCCCACACACACCACCACCCCCACACACACCACCACCACCACCACCACCACCAGCAGCTCCTGCCCCCACCACTTGCTTAAGGCTCTGTGACTCTAAGAACAAGCACTTTCTTATATTTCAAAAAGCAGATCACCTACCCAGAGTTCTATCTAATATCCAAACAAACCCAATCAAAGGTCTCCAGGCAAGTCCTGCACAATGAACTGCACATGTCTCCCCAGTCTGAGGGTTAACAGGAAGTGTAATCTTCAATCCTAGCTGCAGGTTCTCAGGACAAACAGTGGATTCAAACAGTCACCTAAAATAAGACACTATTAAAAAGCCCTTGTTTGGTTCCTCCACTGCTATAGCCAAGACCCCCTGCTACAAACAGACCCCAAATGTTCGCCAAACTCTTTAGACATGGTCACAGAGGAAATGGATCGCTTTACTTACCCAACATGTTCAAGCAACCGTCTCATTTTTCCAGAGTTAAGAAGAGAGAACAGGCTGGCAGATTTGGGACTTGATCAAAAAGGAAATTTTTTTAAACAGTTACATGGGATTATTAAAAACACACACAACAACAACAACACAACACAACAACTGAATAGGGAATGCTGTCATGAGCCACACACATGATTTTATTTCCTCTGCACTATTACAGGGGGGCAGAGGATGATACAATGAGGGGAGAAAAAAAAAGGGAAAGGAAAAGGGATAGCATAAAAGATGCATTAGTTCATTGAAAATCATGCAAGAATAGAGAGCTAAGGGATCCAAAAGAGTCCTCACAGATTTATTGCAGGATGTTGTCCAACATCTCCCCCCACACACACCCCCACCCCCACTCCCCATCCCTACTCCAAAAACTTCCTCCAAAGCCTAGAAAACACTTTCAGAAACATTTGCTGGCTGTAGGCTGGCTTGCAGAAGAACACTCTGTTATCAACAGAAGTCAGGAAAAAAGGCTGAACAATGTAGTTTCAAGTGAAGAAACCCTGTAGGGAGAGAAAAGACCATGTAGAGACACCACCACCCACCTAGGCCCCAGGAGCTAGGAGCTCTCCTTAGCCCTGCTCTGCTGAGGGCTTGGTTCTGTTTAAAAACACACGTCCTCTCTGGTCAAAACTTAGTCCAGCCTTCCCAGAACCTCTTTGGAGAGGAAAACTTGCCTGCTTTGCTGTCTGCCATGAGCTCTCCTTAGAGAGGAGCCTGCTTGCTCACCTTCCATTTTCTTCCCCCAGCAGGCATGTGACACAAGAGAAGACAATAGTGCAGGGGGGGAAACTGCTCAGAGAGAGAGAGAGACAGAAAGAGGAGAGAGGAAAAAAAAAAAAAAAGCTTCTTTTTTGGCATACCAGGATCTAACTTCAAACTATTCCAGAAACACCATGTCCTGGTGGAAGAAAAGGTGTGCCAGGCCCTTGCCAGTTTGCAAAATCGAGCTATGGCTAATGGCTACTTAGCCATGTGACCCAAGAAAGCAAAAAAATTCTCTCTAAACAGTTCCAAGTTAACCTAAGTGCTGTGGGGGTGAGTGTGGCACGGCCAGCCACAGAGAAATCACACTGCTCGCCCACAATTCGGATGTCTCAGAGGGAGGGGGAGAAAAGATGGTTAAAAAGTCGAGCTTACCTCTGTGGATGCATTGTTAACACTGTGTAATGTCAATACTTATAAAACATGGAGGACAGGCTCCTAGTTCTCACAGAAAAAGGGTTTGGCACTTCGGCTTGATGATCTGGCCGCCTAATAAGAGCTCATCCCCGATTGGCTGGCCCGGCAAATCGGAGTGTAAGGCGGCCCGGGATTGGCTGAAACACTTCCTGAGCGATTATCTTTGTGAGGCTCTGGTGAGCAAGAGCCATCCTGTGCATAGAAAAAGACAGGCTAAGCTAGGCCTTTTGCAGCAAGAAAAACTTGGAAAAGGGGCCCCCAGACGCACTTCTCCCACGTCCTGGCTAGATTTCCCAGTACGGGCAAACCAGTGCAGCCAGCCTGACCTGCTCCAGCAAAGCCTGAGGCCCAGATGCCACTGGGAAGAGAGTTTCTGGGGTGAGCTGACAGGGCTCACCCTTGCTTGCCCCCCGCAGAAGGGGCTCTCTGCTAGGAGGAAGGCTGGCTCTTTTCTAGAACAGTCCAGCAGAATGGTTCCCCCTGGGGGAAGGTGAAGCTGAGGAGTGGGGAGCCCCAGAAAATGAGCCAAGGGGGCAGGAGAAAGGGGCTGGAGGCAGGCCTCTGTGGAGCTGGGGGGCAGGCAGACAGGACAGGCAAGCCCCAAGAAATCGCTAAAGAGCAGCCCTGACTTCTCAGAGGACAGGATTTGGGCTGCTGAGGGGAGGAGGGGAGCAGAGTGGTCAAGTTTGCATAGTCATTGTCAAAATGCCTCCTGGAAAAGCAGGCCAGAGGGCCATTTTTCCCGGCACAGAATCTGTCTTCTTGTCCCCCTCAGCCAGGACTCAAAGGAAAAACCAAAATGGGTTCCTGCCTCCCTGCCAGGATGCCAAGGGGCGGCCCCCCTCTCCGTCCTTACCCTAAGAAAAGCCAAATGCGCTCCTAGCAGGCCACATGCCTAGATCTACAAACTTCCCTTCCCCTCCCAGCCCCCTCCCCCACGGCTGAGGCCTGCTAAACCTGTCAGTTAAACAAAAATCTGACTTCCGTATTAGTCTGCGATGCCTTCAGCTTCCTGCCTATTAACCCTCTCTCGGACTCTGGGCCTGGCTGGGAAAGACTAGGCCCCGAGATCGCAGAAAAGGCCTGTGGAAAAATACCAGCTGCAGCTCCCCCGGCAGATGCAGAAAGAGAGAGAGAGTGAGCCGCTGTCTCTCGCCTTTGCTTCCCAAGGAGGCGTGTACCTTCTGAATCCAGGGCACAGGCAGTGCCTCTGGGTCTGAGAAGCCATTTAAATCCAGAGGGAAAAAGAAAGATGTCAAACTCGGCAAGGGAACAAGAACCCCCATTATTAGTCAGGCCTACACCCACTGCTTAGCCCTTCCTGTCACAATCACCCCTGTATGTATGTACTTGGGGAGCTGGGCCCTCGGTGGGCAGACAAATCCCATGAGCTTTATGAGGATTCTTGCTGAAATTTATTTCCACAGAGAACGGCTTCTTTTTGTCCCCTAAGGCAGATGGAACAGCTATTTCACACACAGCCCTACACTTGGCAGCCCCCCCCCCCC